CCCCCCCCCCCCCTTTCATTCCGGACCGAACATTACATCACTAAGCTGCTCAAGGTGGAAATAAAGTAAATAAACCACATCACATGCCTTGAGACGCTCGTGATAGAGAGCAGTCAACGCATCGTCAAATGATGTAATGAGCTCCTGCGCGTCACTTTTCAGCTTGCGGTACTCCATTTCCAAGCCCTTCCGCCTTCTCTGCTTTTCTTCTTTTATTACCTGTCCCACAAGGAATTACAGATGTCATCAGTTCCCTGCATCTGAGTTTTCCAATGGAATATAAATTTTCTTTAAAAAAAAAGAAAGCAAAAAACCTTTTTAAAAAAAAATGTTATAATACCAATGAGCCTAGCTGTTACATACTTCAATGAGTATGGGCAGAACCAAAGATCAACCAATGTAGGATGAGCATATATGCAGCGGAAGTCTGATAAACGGACTGACTCACATAGACTGACTCACATAGATATCACTCCACACACATACAATCGTGAGATGGTGGGGTGAGAGACGAAGGAGGTGGGAGATGTAGGTAGCACCAAATGTCACCGAGATAGAAACCAGTAGGTCACCGATATGGTAATCCAAGATGTCCTCAAACAAGATCAAAATGTCGCGGACAATAAGTCACCAATGTCAGAGATACAGAGTCCTAATGTAACCGATGTCCAATCTGTGATGCAGCCGAGTATCATCCCCAACAATCTCCAAGTCTCGAATCCGGTAAGTACCACAGCCTCTTACCACCAAAGTCCAACTCTGATCTCTGTCCAACTAGTATAAGTCTCCAATCTGAAGAAGAAGAAGAAGAAGAAGAAGAAGAAGAAGAAGCAGAAGAAGAAGATGAAGTCTGAAGAGAAGAAGAAGAAGGAGAAGAAGAAGAAGAAGGGAGCCGAGGAGGAGAGAGAGAGAGAGGGGACTGGCGATGGGAGGGAGGAGAGAAGCCTCCAACTCCCGATACCTCAGGCGGCTATGGCCGCCGATAACGCCCAGTCGCCGCTGCTGCTGCTCCGCTCGCTGCTGCGCTGCGCTGCTCCTCGCTGCTCCTGCGCTAAACTCAGCGCCAGCGCTGATTCGCGCTGTACCATACCGCACCGTATCGTGCCGGTGGGTCGATAGCCTCAATGAGGCTGAACCGGTACTTTTGTACCGGTGGGGCAGAGGCCGGCCTCAATGCTGCGAGGCCTGGCCGTTCCCTGAACCGTCAAGATGGACGGTTCAGCCCCAACCGGCGGGCGGCAGCCTCAAGAGCGCCGCCAGGCCCAAACGGTAATGTCGTTTGGGCCTGCCCGTCGGGTCTGGTCCAAGGTAAGGCCTTTAAGGCCTGTAGTACCCCAAGGTCGGGCCTTTAGGCCCTACTGTGTCCTTCTAACCCTAAGTCGGGTCCGGTAGGACCCGTGTGGCGTCGAAGATGTAACACTAGCTCAGCCAGGTACACCCATGAACTGTTAACAATACCACGCCAAGTTTGAATCCAGACGCCACCTGATGATCAGAACAAAATAATCGTGAATTACCTGGGGCCGGTCAGTTCAGCAATGATATCTCAAGGCCGTCACCCTTTTCAAAAAAAAAAAGAAGGAAAAAAAAAAAGGGAGACGTTATCAGTCTGGCAGATTGACTCCTGACAAGGGGGTTCTCCAGACCTTTTTCCCTTTCAAAACAAGACAAGACAACACAAAACAAGGACTCTTAAAAAAAAAAAAAAAAAAAAAAAACAAGGACTCTTCTCAGCCACGTGTGAGTATCGTCGCCTTGCGGTAGGAGCGTTGGCAGATTATCCAATGAGGAAAACCTGTAGAATGGCAAGATCCCACTAGCAAAGAGGATTGAATTAAATGCCTGAATCTTGACGGATTTGTGGAAAGGTGCGGAAGATGGCGATTGATCTGCTGTTGTGCATCTCTGTTTAAAACCCATCCAGATTCAGGTGCTTGATTCAATCTTCTTTGCTGGTGGGATCTCGCCCTAAGAAGGAGAAGATGCCTACAGTCTTCCCCCGAATACAACGTACGGTCATTATAGCTGAATTTGGTGTATCTTTCAGTCTAAATTCAGCTCTAATGACCGTACGTTGTATTCGGGGGAAGACTGTAGGTCATAGAACACTGCACTGTCAATTGAAAAAGGCTTTTTGCCAGTTTTTGGAAGTTTCTGCCAAGTTTTTGGCTCTTTTTTTTTTTTTTTCCCAATTTCAGAGATGTAGAGTCATTCTCTTCTCAGTGTTCTCACTCTTAAAAGGGAAAAGAAAAAAAAAAAACAAGGGCTCATGGTCCTGCCTCTATCCTATTCTGGGGAGCATCATTTCCCATTCCATTTCTATATAATAACCTTATTTTGCCTCACATCCTACCGTCTTCCCCCGAACATAACGCACCCTAAAAATGAACGTATACAAGCTATATTTCCGCCCAGATACAGCCAAAATAAGGGTGCATTGTGTTCGGGGGAAGACTGTAGGCTACCAGAGTGACCTGGAGGAAGATCCTACTACCGATGTATATGGATTAGTGTTTAAGGTGTGTGACTGTCAGGCATCGTGGATTTGGCAGGAAATCAGCCGTAGCCTGTTTTTGTGAATTAAGCCCAGGGAAAGGATGTTTTCTTTTGCTCTCCCATTGGTAGTTTTTTTCTGTTGTTTTTGTTGTTGGGGTCCTGTGGCTGTCCCAAACGTGCGTGAAATCACAACCAAGTTTTTTGGTTCGTGAAATCACACACGTGTCATTCACGGCGAAGGCAAACCGAATGGCTTCATAGCTGGAAATTGATTGCGGTTTGGGAGGTGTTTGGGAGGGTTCGATCCCCTCACCTACAGCAAATGGTGTATGGAGTTACTCTTGCCCTCCTTGCCAAAGAGATTTTTTTTTTTTTTTTTTTTTTTTTTTTTTTTTTTTTT